ATGTTTTAATAGACGTTTTTAGCCTAGAACAACAAGTTAAATACTTTATAACCTGACAACTTTATAAAGAATTTGTACAACCAAACATGAACTAACCTAGTGACAACTCTAACTTGGCCTCACATGTTCGGCATTCAGAACGCAATGACGACCACCATACACCACGAGGTATCATCTGATTGAAACAGATGATCCAACCAGCCAATTAAAATCCTCAATATTATCACAAAGATTCCCACCAACATGAAATGCACGTGATATGCATGTTCATCAACCTAGCCTAACCAGACAACAGGCAAAGAGAATATCATGAATACTATTACTCACAAAACTGTACGAGACAAAAAAAGGAAATGGGTTTTTTTTCATAACTTTTTATTGAAAACAAACAATATATAAGTACGTGAAAATGTCACTGCTACAAGTGATCACATGTTGCAAAGCATTTTGCATGAAATTTGATGTCACGCATCGCACGTGGCACATGCACTTTGTGCACAATGAACTTGCTTTTTGCATGCTTTTTGACACCTTAAGTTCACACACAATGGTTGATTATTCTCTAGTCTCTGAATGTTGTGTGGAAAACTTTAATGTCAACCTAAACTGAGCATACGTCATACCAGGGCATAAAGAAAATCAGTGTCTCTACACCGTGGGTATGCTGGAGACTGGAATTACCCAAAATGAAGTGGCCAGACATTTTGGTGTCCATCAGAACATAATGGGACCACAAGAGATTTGCCTCAGACCAGCTGTCCACACATGATGACATGTCATGTCAGCAAGACAACCATCGGCTGACCCATCTAAGGATTCCAGACTGACAGTTTGACTGCCAGTAGACAGCATCTATGGTACAGGAGACAAGATTGGGATGGTGTTTTGTTCAATGACAGATGATATTTCATCTGGACAGGTCAGATGGCAGGGCAAAGGTGTACAGAGAGTGATGTGAATGGCATGCTGACGCATGCGTTGTTCAATGTCAACAGTTTGGTGGCAGAAGCGTTATAGTATGGGGTAGCATATGGGGTGCTTGTTGGAGCCCTAATGCAATAAAGCATAGCTCTTATTCTGTACATATTTGTGGCATGGCATTGTGGTTATCTAATCATTTGAAATGAATGACTTTGTTGTCATATACTAAAGGAAAACAGTAACTGTGTATAACATAAAATTGCATAAAATAGAAGTTATTTGAAAAGTTATTAAAACAACCCTAAATAAACAAGTAGCAAAGCACTTTGCTTGGAATTTGATAGATAATGCCCATCCACATGTCACTCATGACAGATTTCCTGAGACAGCAGAACATTCACGTACACCCCTGGCCAGCTGTTTCTCTGGACCTGCCCCCAATCGAGCATGCTAGGGATGAAATGGAGCGACGTTTACGTCAAGCCCAAAATCAGCCATTTACGTTAGCTGAAGTGGGACAAGTGTTGGTTCAGACATGGAACAACATTCCCTGAGCATTCTGTAAGCATAGTGTCATCTATATGTCGTCAAGCCTGCATCAACGCCAATGGTGGACACTCACGATACTTAATTTGTGGACTGCCTTTTGACACCACATCTCTTCAAGGACGTGTCACGCTGCCTTGTGTCAAATCATACAGATTTCGATATTATTATTGGATATTTATATGGCGCACATATCCACACACTAGTGCATGCATGCTCAAGGCGCTGGTAGTTTTTCCCTCGATCATTGGATGTCAATCTCAACGGCACATCTTATTATCGATCTCAACTCCCTGGGGATCATACAAACTCTTGCAGCCACTAGGCGCACCGAGTTATTGCGGCTTTCTCATCCGTACGAGGTACCCATTCACAGCTGGGTGGACTGGGACACATAGTCACAGTATTTTGTCCAAGTTTACTGCACGTTGCTATACCCGCAACTAGGTGTTTGCACGTATTCATGTGGCCACCATCTGGTCATATACCAACGGATTCGTGGGTTCTTTTAAGTGCACAGGGTTGTGTACTGTACACTAGGGGTTGTGACAACACTGAAAGAGTCTGCACACAAAGTTGACTCCAAGGTTTTTACACCCGGTCACAGGTGGGCTCGATCCCGGCACCTCATGCTCGCTGGATCACCAGCCTGGCGCTTTAGCCAGCTCGCCCACCGCACCCCCACAACTTATCTTGTCAACAGTTACAGTGATTAAGAAAAACACCAGAAATCATGTTAGTATCTTTTTGCATTAAAACAATGCATAACATCAAATAATGCACAGTTACTTTATTCCTGTAGTAATTACATACATAGATGGAAAATTTCTATTTCCTTTTAAGGAGCATGTGTGAGTCAGTTGTTGCATGTGTGAAAACTTAATCTGTTAAGACTGAGACATTCAATACCATATCATGTGTGTGACAGAGCTGTGGACTGAATCCAATACTTTTCATTTTAATTTATGAATGAACTTGTTGATGCTATTTTTGAGAAATGTAGTTAGGGGGTATTTGTAACTTGAGAAATTAATTATTCACTTTAACTTCATTTGCAGATACCATAGTTGTATTTTCTTTCACAATGAGTGGTCTACAAAAACTAATGAACACTCAGCTGCAGTTTTTGACACCCGGGGGCTAAACAAAGTCTATATAGTTGTATTTAGAAATGGTGGTATAGTTGCTCAAAAAGTAAAAGTGGTTTTATGTTAATGAACATAGAGAGTTGTCCAAGCCATTTTTTTATGGATTAAACTTCTTTTTTATTTCCCTCACATCATTTCGGGACCTTACAGATCCCTTCATCAGTTCTGATGAAGGGATGAAGGTATCTGTAATGGTCCCAAAACGTTGTGAGGGAAATAAAAAAGAAGTTTAATCCATAAAAAATATCTTGGACATCTATATACAACTTCTAAATGCCTCTAAAAGACATCATATGAGAGTTGTTTCCTATTATCAATATTAAGGTTTAATTTTTCTTGTGATTCAATTGGTCAATTCTGCTCGGCACAATGAGTTCTTTTCAAATTTTATTATTGAATTGGAAGAAAACAAGTATGTGTGAGTTTCAGCAACCTCTTTACGTTTTGAAAAAAAAGATCTCACCAAATCTTGTTTATGGTACATAATTTTTGGGTTCTAAGTGGGTTTTTTTACAAAACAAAAAGGTTTGTGTCATATTTTAAAAGATTTCTTACTCTTGCTAAGTTTGCTTCAATAAAAATACATCTATTTTAGGGAGACTAGGTGCTATACTATATTTATTCAAACCCAGATGAAAGTAAACTGGCTGCTGAGAGCTACTGGTTGTAATGATAACTCATGATGGTGCTGGCAAACATACATTGTGTTTTTTCCTATGTTTTCATTTGTTTCTACCTTTAAACAAAGACTTGCTGATATATTTGTTCAAGGTTGGTCAGAAAGTATAAGATATTCTCATTTTTTTCATGCTCCCTTTTAAATATTAAACATTAGATAATAAATCCCTCCTATCAGAGATTATTGATTTTAGAAACTCTTTACATTGTTATAATATACAAGATATCGGGATAAACAAAAAATGTAGACTATTCAAATTTCTACATATTTTACATAATGCAAATCTTGGTCTCTTAAACATGAGTTTCATGTCCTGTTTATCTGTGATGCCTTTGCCTCTCAAAGTAAGAAATATTCTAACACATTCAGATGATACATGTGATAATCATCAAGTAATGTACAGTTTATTTAATTTAAATGATGTAAGTAGTAATAAGTCAGTAGTAATCTTTATCAAACAAGCTTTTCATGAGATTAATTTATCAAATGTTTTGTCAGCCACCTGATTGCAACTATAATTGTCCATCCTATTGTACTCAGGAAAACATAACAAAAAATACTGAATAATTCCAAAGACTAAAACCTACATAAGTGTACATATACATTCAGTTCATTGTTGGTTAGTATTCAGTTTATATCTGATCATTAATAGTATATTTTATCCATTCAAAGAAAACATGAATTAGTTAATAGACCCACTAGAAGATAACCTGGGCAAAGGTTGAAGTTGTGCCACTTAGAGAAATGTGCCCGCCTGTCTATCCATCTTTCCAAGTTTTTATGTGGACAGGTTTTCAGAACCTGCTTCAAAAATGACATTTTAAATACATCCAGTAATGAACACTATCTGTGGATGCTAGCCACAGAGAAGAATGACCAGTTAACTGATATTGCAAGACTTGTATTCTATGGATCAGCTCAAATTGTTTCAAGAGAATGTTATTGTAAAACTGTCACCAATGATATTGTAAAGCATGTGTTTATGTCATGTATGATCAATATGAATGACCAGAGACCATATGACCAAAATGAACTCATTAACGCGATATGTGATATTCTGGATGTAGATACTTTTGTTAAGAACTGGGATCAGAACGATGATGTTATTCCTGCATTCTTACTTGGTGGGTGTCCAATAGAATGTACCATGGAACTAGAAAGAGATGTGTGGGCAAAAGTAGTAATTAATGTAAGCCATTTTATGAGGAAATGGCGATACTTGCTAAAACACTTGCGATACTTGCTAATAAAGTTGTTTAACAAACTATCATTAAAATATTGACACAGTTCACTATTTGTTACCAGGGAGGAGTGCAGAGAAAGGGACAGCCAGGTGTTCGAGAACGGATGGAGATGGCACAGCACAGGTTAATGAATAAATAACTTTGTCTGTGAACGTGCTTCTCGAACACCTGGCTGTCCCTTTCTCTGCACCCCTCCCTCGTAACAAACAGTGAACTGTGTCAATATTTTAATGATAGTTTGTTAAACAACATTATTATTTTTAGGACAAAAAAGTCTGCAAAAACCTCACAGAGTGGGTATGATGTTTTGATTATGATCAGCGTTTCATTGAGTATGTTATGTTTATTTGTTTTCGAGTTAGATTGCAATTCATCGGTCCGCTTTTGAGCCAAACGGACTATACAGTGCAATGCTTTTATGCTTGATTAGAAGTGAGTATATATGAAGTTGGTTTTTTTTAGCTTCTTCCTTGGATTCCAATCTCAGCCTTGGCAGTCAGTCGTCTGTCTCAAATTTGCTGCCAGCACCTCCAAGTGGCTGGGAACAAAGCAAGGCTGTGGATTACAATGGTTTAGACTTCCGTCTCATTGTGGACTCCAAAAGTGGCCCTCCAACCACTTTATCGCTAGTGGCCTCTACGTTGCATGAGAAGTCTGCATGGTGCAGTGATATCAGTCAGGTAGGTGCCACATCTAAAACAACTTTAAATGTTACTTTTTCTCATTGGTTGAAAAGTAAACTGAAGTTTGCATGTGTGTAACATGTTTTTTTATTTCAGTGCATCGAGAACTTACTGTATAGTGACCTCTTGAACAGCTCCATGAGTGAATCGTCTTCAGTTACTATGCCACAGTCTGTTCGGTAAGCACTTCCATCCTCTCTTGTATGTTCAGGTCAGTGAATTGTTATGTTTATCATGTATGAAGAAGATACAAGTGGAATTGATATAAAAGCAATTTTGGGGTTATATGTCAATCTTTGATTTCATGTTTACACTAATTTTCCAGGGGACAAAAGTTAGGTCAGTTTACTGTGAATCAGATATTAGTAGTATATATTTAAAACCCAAAAGCACTGGCAACCAGTGCTCATGAGATATGCATGATACTATATTTGCAGACATGGATGCAGTACATCAGAGGTCAAGAAGGCTAATCACACAAGCACTTTTGATGCCATGATGCAGTTGGTAGTTTGACCCTTGAGTGAGGGTTGACAATGAGTGTCAGCCAAATGAAGTTTACTCTGACCTCAACATTGACTCATGCAGAAAGGAGTGTGTGTCATGAAAGACTGCTAATGGTGTTGTAATAAAGTTAAGAAGCTATCAACTCTTTCTAAACATGTTAGGAAGGAAATATAGGGAAAGTGGTTCAATGTTGCACTTGAACAGTCAGCCAAAGTGGCCATTTTGAAAAGCAGCAGAGTAACCTGTCTAAACTCCTTCAGGTGGATGGGGGATGTGGACTTGTAGGACTAGGTGGGACTTCATCCCCTAGAGACTGAAAGTGCTAAGTGACTGAGCAATCATTTGGTTCTGTGCAACATCATAGCAAGAGTCAATTCCATCATGAAACCTCAACTGGATGTAAAACTTAAACAAAAAGAAATATAAACTCAAAACATTTATGGCATCTCTTGCATGTTTTCGGTCACACTGTGTTATATATGAATATGTGTCACATATGTATATAAGGAGGTTCCATAGAGTAAGAGGAAACAGGAGCAGAACTCAGCTCATGTTCATCATGAACCAGGGCCTTTGTGCAGCCACAGGTCTTGTAAAAGTATTTCACCAGCTCTTCAATTCTGGTGGATCATCTTGCATTATTCTTTTGATGTGTGCTGAGCCTTTCAAACTAATTCAGCAGATCAAGCATCCCTCAGAAGAGACAGAAGTCATCACTTCATTGTTGGTGTTGTGGGTGGCCAGTCGAAGACTCTGCATGTATACTCTTCAAGTATGAGCTGAATAGATTTAATCAACCAATGTCACGAATATGATTTTCAAGAGTACACTTATATTATTGTGTTATTTTGAGTTCACAGTACACTCTAACATAGTTTGATGTCATAGTGCAATCTAACATATTACATGACATCACAGTAAGACACATAATGTTGTGTAGGGCATGTATAACTGATATTTGGATATAGTCAACGAATGTTGTGTGGGGCATGTATAACTGATATTTGGATATAGTCAACGAATGTTGTGTGGGGCATGTATAACTGATATTTGGATATAGTCAACGAATGTTGTGTGGGGCATGTATAACTGATATTTGGATATAGTCAACGAATGGTGTGGGGCATGTATAACTGATATTTGGATATAGTTAACGAATGTTGTGTGGGGCATGTATAACTGATATTTGGATATAGTCAACGAATGTTGTGTGGGGCATGTATAACTGATATTTGGATATAGTCAACGAATGTTCTGTATCCACGTGTTTTCACAAAATGTGTAAGGAAAGGAATTTATTTTTGCTATAGAGTCTTCTAATAGCATTTCTTACTAACTCTTTCTGAAAACAGTCAAGTTTGTCAACTTTCAAAAGTGGAGATATTTATACAACCCCCTTAGACAACTGCACATGCAGTGCGTTTAACAAATCTACCCAGGGCATATTCAAGGCAACCCCTACTTTTGCCTTTAAAACATGTCGTAAACTTTGAAAACAATGGACTTGATGTCAAAGGTGAATTTCATTGTCTCGTACCATGTCAATCTGACATCACAATTGCAGTACTACTGTTACTTTACCCTCGTAAAACTTCATACGGAAAATCAAAACAAAATGATGATGAGACAAACGTTATGAAACTTTTTCCAGAGTTGGTCTGATGTGTTTATTACATTCTGTGTTTAAATGAATGTTCGATCATGAACCGATGTGGAGTTAGATCATGATTCATCGGTACCATTTTGACCCAAACAGAATATAGCTCCCTTGATGTTTTTCAGGACATCCTTTTTTTGCCCTTTTCCTTTTTCACTTTCTTTGCAACCAAGCAAAGATGTTTAAAAGTCAAAGGTATAGATTCAGAAAATAATTCCTGATTAAATTATAATCATTAAATTTAGAATGGTACTTCTGGTATGGATCTTGTCACTTCCACAGTGTTTTACACAGACTTTGAAAAATGGGAATTATAACGTAAACATTCCCTCTGGATTATGGTAGCCTTATTCCTGTGGATACACAGATACATACAGAAAATCAAAAGAAATTTTAACACTAAGTCATAGCTATTCCTAGTGGTATACCTAATCTACCCCTGAGTTATCTCCCTTGATCCCGACGTCACTGTATTGTTCTCCTAGAACCCTTCATAATTTTTCTGTATGGTCCACACGCATGACGTGCAGAGAATCGAGTGAAATTTGTATTTCAATCAAGTCTTCAATTCTTCATTATATAGGTCAGTTACAATTGCATTCCATTTAAATATTCAATCGCATTGCTGATTTCTTTTATATTAGCAATATTTTCATGTATTTAGGTCTTTGAAGGTTTCCCCTCCTTTTTGATTGACGAGAATGGCGCAGAGCAAATGCCTCCAATGTCAGAAATTCATGGCGGCTGTGGATCCCCACTCTCTTTGTGCTTCCTGTTATAAAAGCTTACCTTGTTCAATTTTGGATCGGTCCTTATTGTGTCAGTAAATGTCTGAGGAAGATTGGATGTTGATGGACAAATCTCATTCCTTGGTTAGGAAGCGTAAACATTCATCGTCTTCGGAATGTTCTAAGTCAAAGAAAGTTCAGGGATCTCCGCCTTTGTCTATTAAATCGGAACCTAAGTCTCGTTCTAGGTCAAAATCTAAACCCTCTCCCCAGTTGGATATATCTGCGTTCTCGGAACTTTTGGCGGGATTTAAGTCCGATATTCAGGCGGCCATGGACAAGTCCATGCGTGATATGGAGATCAGGAATGACACAAAATTTAATCGTCTGTCTAAACATCTGGAGGAACCTGTTTTATCCGGCAAGACGGCAGATACCCGCAGTGACTTGGTAGTCGATGGCAAGAGCCGGGGGCCAAAGTCACTTCCTACAGAAACCAGGGGTACTATGACCGTGAAAGCCGGTAACCATGCCCTGACATACGTAGGAGGCCGGTCCCCTCAGGGGGAGAAGCCTAGGGCTTCAAGCGACGGGGATGGAGTTGGCCAAGCCGGCTCCGGATCCGGGGTGACCGTGGCTCAGGCTACACACTCCGGAACCTTTGTCCCCGCGGCACCCATCCATGGCTGCTCCCTGTCGCATACAGCCTGCTACCTTCTCCCACGGGGAGACTGGGCTGCAAGCGTTTCACGGGTCTGACTCGGTCCAGACGGCACGTGATTCCCGCCCCGGCTTAAGCCAGGCCACTGGGTCGGCTGCTATGGATAATGGTGTATCAACCCAGCAGTCTGATTTGCACGGGCCTAGCGGTTCAGAGGACACGGCTACAGACCCGCAAGGTTATTTTGACACAGACAATCCACCCTTAATCCCATTAGTGTCTGATGTAATGGATCAAGAGGCTTCGTCGGTTTATCCTTTTTCACAGCCAGAGTTTTCCATGCGAGAGGGGTAGTTGACGGTACAACCTATGGACATTTCAACAGAGGATTTTAAGCCGGGCTGGACATTTAAGGAAAAGCTGGAACTTTTGCACGGACTTTATCCTAATACTCTCTTCCACCTCCGTCGGACGAGCAGGAGATAGAGATTCCCATAGAACTCAGATTATCAGTATGTCTACCCCTGGAATGGATGCCCAGGCTGTCGTAACCACATTCATCATCACTTAAGAAAGTGTTGGAGAATTACAACTTAGGCCTCTCCAAGGCTACAAACTTGAGTCCTTTACCTAGGGTTTTTCATAAACCTATTTATTCCATCCATGATCGAGTTATCCCGGCCAATCAACCAAATTGGACAAGGACTTTAAACAGTTACAGGATGCTAGAGGCTTTCGGGACTATGTACCTGTCTGTACTTACAAGGATTGTAGGGAATTGGATACGGCAGCCCCTTTGGCGATTGATACCCTGTCTTATTCAAACTGTTTTCCCCGGGGAGTTCATGCCTTGCTTCCACCTGTGTTTCAAGATTATACGGGAGTTAAGAAAGACACTTTGATTTCCATTGACTGCTCAGGAGGTGGCCTTAGCGCATTCGTTTCTGGATGCAGTGTATCAGTCCTTAGCCGATGCAATGGCTACTCGGGTGAATATTTTGGGTCGACTTACAGCTATTGAGCGGATACAGCGGCTAGATTCAGTGAGGAATTTACCGGATGTTTCTAAGGACTTCCTGTTTCAACCTCTTGGAATCTGAGAGCACCTTTAATGGACAATGTCAACAGGCTATTGAGGCTAGAGATGCTTTAACAACGAGGAACTTGAATCAACATTTGGCGTCAGCTCTATTATTCAAAAATAGAGGAAGGTCTGACACTAGATCTAGAAGGGGATCCAGTGTTACGTCTCGTTCTACTCCACCTTCATCACGGCGTAGTCAGAATTTTCAAAGGTCTGCATTTGAACGTGCCTCGGATTTTGAACGCGTTCAACAAGTGTGTCTTTTTACTAGAGGCTCATCCTCATCTAGGGGTAGAGGTAGGGAAGGTAGATCTTTTCGTGGATCAAGATCAACTTCCAAGAAATACTGACTCAAGTCTCACTGTTTAGCACTTTCTTCCTTACGAATCGGAACGTCCCTCGACACGATACTGAATTTGGACTTTGTATGTCCTGTGACACAATCTCCAGTAGGAGGCATGTTGGCCCAATACTCGGACAATTGGAAACTAATAATGTCAGACGAGTGGGTACTGTCAGTTATGAGCAGGGGGTTTATTCTT